GATACCATCTTTCCTTGCACTCCGAATGCTCTCCGGGCGTTTCTTACCGCCCATATACCGCGCGCTCTCGCGTCGAACGAAGGGAAAGAAAGAGCGAGAGATCGGCTGAAAGAGCGAAGGAGAAAAGGTAGAGCGCAGCGAGCGAGACAGAGAGAGAGAGAGAGAGACGTCGGCCGAGAGAAAGAATGAGAAAGAGAGTGAGAGGAAAGGGTGGGATCGCAGCCGAGAGACAGCTATACGACCGCACTGATTTGTCTGCTTATTGTTGCCGTTGCCTCGTTGCTCGTTGTTCCTGTTCGCTCGTGACGATGACGTCGAGTGTCGCGGCCACTCTCGCTCGCGACAACGACGAGAAAGAGAGAGAGAGAGAGAGAGAGAGAGAGAGAGAGAGAGAGAGAGAGAGAAAATTCGAGAGGGACGGAGAGAGAAAGCGAAAGAAAAGGAAAAACAGGAGGAGAGAGAGAGGTTGTAACGCACGAAGCGGCCGGAGTCTCGAGAGGTTGGAAGTTTCGGCGCGACTCGGCGAGGTTCACGCGGCGTTTCCCCACGCCGGTGACTTCGACGCCGGTGATTTCAACGCCGACGCAGGAAAGACGGCCTCGCGCGAGACACGTTTCTCCACGCCCGCGAATAGGCGCTACCTCTCTGCCCCGAGTCGATGTAAAATCCATTTAAGGGGTGTTTATTTGAGGTCGCTCGGAGTATTTCGGCCGAAGGACGTGTCAATGGAGGCGGCGGGTGTCTCCCGACAATTCAACCGCACACCATTCCGAGATCGCTGTTCGAGGAGCGGAGAGTCCGATCGGAAATTTTTTTTTATCTCTCCCGATGTGCCGCGCGAATTCTTACATTTTTATTGAGAGAAGCAGCAACTTTACGGCTTCTCTCGGCTGTGTACTCTGTAGGCGTGATTGCGAAACAATATTCAGGAATTTTCTAATTATGTTAATTAGGATCAGAGTTTTGTGTGTGTGTGTGTGTGTGTGTGTGTGTGCGCGTCGACGCGTAAAATATAATAGTCTATGTCTACATGTAATACATACACAATGCAAACTATAAACTAACATGTCTGCTGTGTAGAGGCTATGAGAAATCTTTGAACTGTCATGCAATCTTTGCATTGTGCTATGCAGTTTATTATATCTTACATAGCTTACATTGTGTATATGACAAAAAATTCGTGTAAACATCACGTAGTGTACAGTGTACGTAAAATATCCATGTAGACGTAACCTTCAAATCTATGGCGCAACCCTGATTGGGTCTGGCGCGGTAGGTAACATTGATGCAATCGGAGCCAAGGCTGCAAGTATGCGCATCGCGACGGTCTCCGCATTAACTAACGCTGAATTAGCGAATTATTGTTTCCCCCCCCGGGGCAATTACACAGTCGCGCGTTACTTATTCCAAGAGACGCGGGGCGGCGGAGACTGAGTTAATTAGAATTACCGCCGACCGGCGTTGGCGGCTGATGCAATCGTTCGCAAATGGCGGGTTCGCGGGCGGTAGTTGAGAAGCTGCCGCGGCAAGTGAGCTTACCCCATTACCGACGAATCAGGGTGGCATCCTTCCGTGAGCCATTGTTCCCTCCTGCTGTGTCCTTCCTTATTTCCCTTGTTCTTCTCTTTTCATTGCTGGCTCGCGTGACATATAATTGACATAAACGACGACCGCTATAATTTTAAGGTTCCGGAAAAACCGGTTTTTCCCCCATTTTTTCGCGGATTTTCTCAGTTTTATATCTTTCGTACGAAAAAAGAAAAAAATAAATGTAACCTGTGAATTTCTCTCAACGAATTTTCTTACCCTTGGAACAGAAACCGAAGAAATATATGAGAAAAAATAAGAGAAACCGATTTTTTTTCGAAACTCTAAAACTATAACGAATGCATCGATAAATTGTGCGTCTCGTTGGGAATTGTGAGAATCGTTTAATACCGTGCGATTAACGTCGATCACCGGTGGACGGCGAAGCGCGTTATTTACGCGGCAGAGGCGTTCTCGCTGCCTGAAATAAGTGTCGGTTCGTTTCGTCGGCGGGCAACATTCATGCACGGGTGGCGGAGATTTCACAACAATTCGCACCGTTGTCGCGTCATTAACGGGCCGTCGAACATACGACCGACCGATAAGGCCTTATCTCCGCGAATCGTGCGAACTATGATCGTGCGAAACTATATTTCGAGTTAAGATACGCCACGTAGCTGTTTAATACGGACTGTCGATAGCCGGTCGCGCTATTAATGACACGCCGGCTCTCCTATAATTACCGAAGACGCGGTGGACCCGCTTCGATGGACTTTGCATAAATTTACCTCGAACGCCGTCAAAGTAGCCCCCCCACCCCATACCTCTCCCCCTTCCGCTCGGTACACGCGAATACATTAGGCAAACGAGACCGGGGCCCGGGCGGCTCGTTATCGATATCCCTTATCGTCTCGATTTTTTGCACCGACGCTGTTCGTAACAGTTATTGGCTTAACATTCGATGAATTGCGAGCGATCGCCGTTCTTGCGGTTGGTAAAAAATAACGAGGGAGAATAAAGACGAGAAACACGTCTCCCCCTCTCTTTCCCTCACTCTGTCGTTTTTTCGGGTGTGCAACCGCCGCTCGACGATCGAACTATAAAAGTTCCAGGTAACGTAATGTCTCAATAACGCGCGAGAAACGCACTAAGTCGATCCTCGTGGCCGGGATCGCCTACGACGACGCGACACGAGTCGATCACGCGTTGCATAAGCGCATAAGTTCATCCGGGCGGAGAGATCGAGTACATCTGGGTTACACGCGATTTACAGCGGCAGCCAGCGAGATCTCGCGACGATTTATTTTCACTTAATCCGTCTCTCTCTCTCTCTCTCTCTCTCTCTGTCCTTCTCAGGAGAGCTCTCTCGACTTACATTTCGTCATCCAGAAACGTCGTCTCGTCGGCGATAGGCGCTCCTAGACATTCGAGAGCAATAATCGATGGTAACCGTTCCATCAATGACAGGGGAGGTCCGACTAATTACTAGGAAGACAGATGCGCGCCTTCGGGATCGCCCGTTACATAAAGCTCCCTGAGAAATATCCGCGTATTTATTCGTCGACGGGATTATGTACACACAAGAATCACCACGGCCGAGGTTACCGTGTGGCCATAAAAGAAAAACGATTCGCGCCTCTCTTCCGCGAAAGAGAGAGAGAGGAGTGACTCACACGAGAAAGTATTTTAATCGAGTCTTCCTTCTTTCTCTCTCTCTCTTTCTCTTTCTTCCTCTCTCCCTCTCCCCTGTTAAAGCTTCGAGCAAAGCTTGGAAATTGCAATAGAGGATTCGCATAATTTACGCGTATGGAAACGTTCAATAGGTGTCGTTAGCAAATATGATTATCGCGATTGATTTACTTCTCGTTACGGTATATTCCAATCTAAATTTCGCTTCTATATTAATCCCTCCATCGAACTTGAAAGATCGATGAAGAATGTCGAGATATTATACTATACAAATTATCGTCTTGCCTTGATGCAGCATTATAGTGTAATGCTATAATGGCTATAATGGTGGTATTTTAATGGCTCTAATTATACAGTTCAACAAAAGATAATTTTTTTCGGACATCAGATTGAGACTAGTCATTTCCAACAGTTTTTTGGACGCTGAATACGAATCCGGCTTCCAAATTTCTCTATTACGTCACAATTTTGAGAAACTTGCAATGGAAGTTGCGAAAGATTATTTCCACGTATTTTATCATACTATAACTACGATATGTGACGTGCTGGAGAAGTTTCATTGCGATCAAAATTAAATACATTGTCAGGTCCTGCAGCCCTCAAAAAGATTTTTTTTGTGTCTATAGCTATGATTAATAAGATATTCATGTTTCAATATGCGGTGTGTTGCGGAAAGGCTGTAAATTAGATCATCGACGATTTACCAAATATCTTTCAACTATATATTTTTTTTCAATTTAAGGATTTTTTATACGTCGCTGAATACGATGTCCCAGTCAACAATTGAAAATAAATTTTCGCAACAATTCGGACATTCTTTAAGTTTCGACATTCGCCATATTGAATCCACAGTTTCGAATTTGTCAATTTTGATATCGGATTTGTATTCAGCGATCTACAGAACCTGATGACGACGCGTGCATGGTCGCCCGAGCGCGACCATAACGATAAACACTCTCAAAACATTACGCGAAGCCTCACTTTGACATTTGAACGTATCTTTCTTTTCACTTCTGTCTAAGCTATCTTAGTTACTGTACCGAAACGAGATCTGAATTTATATCTCTCCGTCAACGCAAAACTGCCGTCCGTACATTGACTGAACTCCCTCCATTCCCGCATTACTTGCTTTATCAATAGTTCGCTCATCCCTCTCTCTCCCCCCACTCTCCGATATACTGCCTATTGGTAGTCACATAAACCTTGGGCCGCTGACGTGACTGAGAATTTAATGAAATGAGACATGCACAAGCGGGATCGAAAAACCGACTTTCTCACGAGTCTTCGCATGCGTACCGTGACTGCGCGTGCGCTACGACGTTTCCTCCGCACATAATTACGTCCTCGGGGTCGAGCCGAAACCTCGCGAATTTTTTCGGCTTCCCCCGATCGCGGAAGATTCGTCTCTCGGCCCCTCCCTTCCCCCCCCCCCTCCGTTTCCCTTGAGATATTCTCGTCTCGTAATAATGATCCTCGCGCGAAACAAGAGATCCGACGATAAAATTACTCGAGTGTCTCGCTTCTGAAGAAGGGTTCTCCCTTCTACGATGCATGTCCTTCGCGCGACGATCGATGACATCGATCGATAAGCCACGTCGATTCGGTCGGAAACACGAAAATTCTCTCCCCGACGACGACGACGACGACGTTCCCCTCTGAGCTCGACGTTTCGTTTGTATACACACCGTCGAGTCACCACCGATGACTTGATCGCCCGGACAGAGCCGATAAGACGTACGACTCGCGAGCGACTTACCTGTAATTGTTACATTTTGATTGTACAGGTGCACGTGAGAGTGTTGGACAAGAACGACGTGGCGCCTACGTGGGGTCCGGGCTCGTGGAAATTCGATATCTCCGAGGAGGCGCCGCCGCACACCGTGATCACCGTGCTCAAGGCCGACGATCCGGACACCATAGGCACTCTGACCTACACCCTGGTGCCGAATCATCGTCTCGGGTCGAACGGTAAGCCCGAATCCGCGAACGACGACTACGACGCGGAGAATCAATTCAACCTCGACTCGTCCACCGGCCAGTTGAGCCTCGCTGAGGCCTTGGACAGAGAAACGAAGGAGAAGTACCTGTTGAAGGTGCGCGCCGACGATGGACTGCAGCACAGGGACATCGTGCTCACCATACATGTGAGTGCAACGATACGTCTTTAGATAACCATATAATTAAGTGGCTATTATCGTGTGATTATCGGTCACCGGTGCTTCACGACCGTGAAAATTTCAACATTAACGTTCAATTTCTGGACATTAACACCAAGCTGTCACAGCGACAGATTACCGATTCTACATAGAAAAAAAGTACCGGATTCAATCAATTAATTACTCCAATACTCCTTGGTAGGTTTTTACTTGGATTAAGTAATATTTACTTCATCCAAGTAAAAATTTCCTGGTAGAAATGCACGCAATTTTCCTGGACACCCATCCGGTTACTGTCTAGTATTAGTGCATTCTCATTAGTTGCAACAATATTGCGTAAGATCTTGATAAAGTCTTATTTCAGAGATATTTCTAGAACAAAACTGTCCGTTTTCTATGAGCAGCAGGTTCGCTTATTAATCAATTGATTAATTTTTTGTCCATTTATTATTCTGTTTTCGTCCAGCGAATGCAGTTCAGATTTTGCGCATCTTTTGCGCGAAGTAACTGCAGGAAAAGCGCTATATCCTGATTAGGATCTTAAGTAGTTTTATTCTTCAGTTGTTAGACGGAAGTTGATATAATTATCCAGTAACTGCTCAAAAAATAAAATTTCTACGAGGGTTTGCTAAGGAGTAATTATTTTCTCGAATCTAACACTCTTTTCCCGCGTGTCTTTATTTTTGTTTTTTGCGTTGTATCACTTATCTATCAGTTTTTCGGCACCATAAAGTTATTATTAACCGCCCGTATTGTTGTTATTATCATCATATACTGCTGTGAGGCGTAGTTCCGCTTCTCTGAATGATGAATAAATAATACGCAACAAGGATCAAAAGGAAATAAATAACAAATCAGTAATGATGACCGGTTAGAAAGTTCTAATAACCTACATCGCGTGTCGAGGCTGTTCTGCCGGTTAGTGCAGCACACACATGGCGCAGATGTTGCGCGTGAAATGTCCTCTGTCAGCTTTTTCTCCTACCGTCGTAATTGCCTCACACTCGTCTCGATATGTGTCCTCGCGTTTGTGGGCGTTTCGTCGAGTGAAAATTCCGAAAAACTCCGAGGAGCCTCGCGCGTATCTTCTCGTGCGAAATTGGTTCCACCGCAGGACTGCTCGCGCGTGGCGGATCCTTCGCGAGGAGAAATTAGCCGGTGCCATTTGCTCGCGACCGAATTCCATCACGAGCGCCGATTATTATTTAACCACGAGGGGATTCGTCGATATGAAGCAATAGGTTACAGTTATAGTAGGAAGTCGTCGGCGACCTTTCGGCACACGAGGACGTGTCTAATGCATTATCGACTTGACCCCGCGCATTGAGCATTCCTACGGGCCAGGAACAATCGGCCGCTCTCTATCTTCGTCCTGACGATCGCTCGCCTGCCTTCTCGACTCCCCGACAAATGCCATTTTCGATATTTCGCCACGCGGGCATAAGAGAGAGAGAGATAGAGAAATTCTTTTGCACACCGATACGTCCCGGTTACGCTAGTTTTATGTCGCTTGAGAATACCAGCGGTACTTCAGCGTTCGAGAATCGACGCGTTGCGAAACTCACCGTCGCGGTTGATTGTTATTCAAATTGCAGCGAGCGTTCGGAAAAAATCGCGCCTGAGCAACCTGAGACAAACGCGAGAAATACTCTCCGAGAGATTATCGGTAGTCGAAATATCGACGGACACGGATGAAATATTGTAGTAAAAATTGTCACCAAATCTTGTAATGTGGAACCGTGCCGGAATTATAACTGATATTATGATATGTATATTGTAATCTTTAGCGATGTATTCCATTGTATTTTACATCTCTAAAGACCGGGGCACGCTCGAAAGATTACAATAATCTCAGTTATAATTTTGATCCAGCGTTACAGCAGAATTTCGCGGTAATTTTCGCCACAATATCCTCTCAGCGCGCTTTCCACTTCACGTTCTACCCTCCGTCTCTCGTTGCCGTATTAATCCCGAAAATGAAGTGTCTACTCCGGAAACCCTCGACGTCGATAGGTCGGAATATCCACGTGTCCGTTAATACCCCTAATTCTAAGCACGCTACGGCCAGGCGGAATCGCACGCCCGAGAGTATCGCGCGTCCCGCCTTATAATTCATTACGCGATCCCGCCGAAACGATTCGCGGCGATAAAAAACGCGAACCCGGCCCCGGGTAGGCCGTTCGACGAAGGCCCGCGGAGAGGCCCCCGGTCCGGTGGCCCAGGTCGTACCGTCTCCTTTCGGAGACAATCGCAAAAATGATCCTTATGACGTGTAATGGTCGGAATTCCTTTGAGGAACTCGCTTCGCCTGTCTTTCGCCCACTCGCTCGTCCACTCGTTCTCGCGCCCGCTATTCTATCCAGCTCCCGAAGGCAAGGAGAGGAATGCCAGAACCGATCATAGCTCGGCGGTTTCGGGGCCCCCGTAAAAGAGGGCCCGCTATTGCTCGACAGTTGCGGAATCTGCCCCTTCTGCCCTCTTATATCTGGTCCTCTTGTCCTCTCTCTCTCTCTCTCTCTCCATCCTCTCTACGCTATTTCGCGCTCCTCTCGCTAAGTTCAAGCGATCTCCCCGGACCCCTTCGGGGAGAATCACTTTTTCATCTCCTTCTTCGATTCCTCTCCTTCGATTCTTATCCTCGTCGCACCGTTCTCGTTCGGAAGAGGAGAAGGATAAGACACACGTGGCGCAGCGACGGCGAGAGGCTGTCGCTACCCGGAATAACACGCTCCATAGTTGAAAAGTCGCCCTCTCTCTCTCTCTCTCTCTCTATCTATCTATCCATCTATCTATCTCCCTGCGCGTAGAGTCATTTTGAAGAAGTACCTCGGTCCGAGGAGTATCGAGTCCGTCCTTGAGATTCCTCTCCTGCGAGACTCTCCATATCGCGCTCGTCCCGTCGGATTTACGCGCGACTCGAGTACCTCGACGACGCGCTCGAGACTCGGCGCGACGCCGGGCGTCGTCTGTGCACGAAGATATCTCAATGCGCACCTCCGGCTTACTCCAGTCAGCAGGACTTGTTTCCGGCTTCACCATCATCACCGGATCATCGCCGGACACTCCATTACACAGGCAGACATCAGCGATGTGAGCGCGCTTTTCTGCCGCCTCGCGACATGTCTCGCTCGCGGAATCTGGGCCCCGTTCTTCGGCCACCTCCGGCCCCCGCGTGGGTCCCGTCCCTTCGTCCCCCGTGCAGGTTCAAAGCGCCTCTCCTCCTCTGTCTTTCTCTCTCTCTCTCTCTCTCTCTTATAACTCGTCCTCCTCCACCCCGTCGTCAGCGATCCTTTTTCTTCGTCTTCTCCTTTCGCTGGCCCCTCGTCATCCGCCGCCGTCTCGGGACACCGTCGCTTTTTGCAAACGTCTCCGGAGTCCTCCTTAATCAAACCGTGCCCACCTTCGCCGCTTGTACTCCGGTACCGCGCGGCGATCGCTCGCCGATCTTGGAAACGCTCGCCGAGCCACGAATTATATCCCCGATGGAGACGCAGGATCGCGCAATTCGGTGTACGTCGCTTCTCTCACGTCGTGTCGTCGACAGACGACGACGCATTTCCAATCCGTTCGTCCCGTCTAGCGAACGATGAAAGGAGATAATATGCAAAGCCGCTATCACGATGTCTTGTTTCGGCTCGATTTACTGAGAGATAAATTTAATTAAATTGGCCCCGGCGCGATAGTAGCCGCGCTCGCGCGTGCTCATCAGAAAGAGGCCGCTGCGGGAATAATGTAATTTACATACTTCTCTCTCACCGTGCGCGCGCGTATACACGCATGCGATCGTGCGTGATCGTTGCGTGACGTCATCGCATCGCGCGTCGTTGAATTATCGTCCGTATTTCGGGAACGATGCGACACGACGTTAGAAGGAGAGAGAGAGAGAGAGAGAGGGAGAGAGAGGCCGTTCGGATTTGACAAACGTGCAGAAAATGCAAATCCACCCTTTGCGGAAATGTCAGTCCGCCGGTCGTTCGGATTCGCGCGACGAAATCCTCGGACGATAAAAAGGCAGAGAGACAGCTCCGGGAATTGAGGCATCCGAATCGTTAATCGCCGTGTTAATCGTCTCGTCGCTGTTGTAGAAGAGAAAGAAAGAAAGAAAGAGAGAGAGAGAAAGAAACGAAAAAGGAAGAGGAAGGAGAGAGACAAACACTCGTGGGGGAAACGTTGAAACGCGTAACAAAAATCCTGTTTAGCGTTACTTATTATTCGCCCTCCCCCCGACCGAGAGGGAGTCGTCCTTTTTATCCTTGCCTGCGCGTCCTGCGTTTCATCGTCGCGCTGATCGATCACAATGAGCGCATTGTTACATGGATAAATAGCCCGCGGGGCCTGAGAATATTTTCTCGTGCTCTGTGGGGCTACCGCGGGCGGCAGAGAGGCAGAGGGAGAGAAAGAGAAAGAGAAGGAGTAGAGAGAGAAAGAGAGAGAGAAAGGGAGAGAGGGAGAACGAGAGGGAGAGCGAGTACAATAATTCGAAGACGAATGAGGCGAGCGTGAGCGGCGCGAATATTTCCGGTGGCGGCCGGTGTTTACCCAAGAATGACGTCGAGTGCGCGTATTCGAGCCACCGGCCGATTTTATTCGCCGAGTGTTTATTTTAAGATCGCACGTACGGTTTCCGGGTCTATTAAGAGGCGCGCATGTACGCTCCTCGGCACGACCGTAAATCTTTTCTACGCTTTCGCGCGAGGGACGGAGCGACGAAGGGCGCCGACGCTCGAAATGAAAGCAACTCACCTCGAGACTGTTCCTTCGAGACACGGCTCTCCAAAGGGGAGAGGGGAAAAAAGTTCCCGTTCTCGGAAAGGAAATTCGACCGGCGTTTTGAAGCGTGTCAACGCGCGGGATAAAAAGCTCAGTTCGTGTAACGGGATGCGTACCGGAGGCGAAAACCAGGTGATGAGAAACGGTATCGCTGTTATCGCGACCGGGAATGTTCATTGTCATTTCTTTTTCTCAGCTGCTTCGAAACTCGGCTGAGATAACTGAAAACGTTTGATTGGACCCTCCTGAAACCTCCTACAGGAATCAGTGTTATGTATTTATACTAAAGTATAAGTAAATCTGAGATAGGCCGAAAATCATTGCAATGCAGGCACTGACGTCTGGTGGTGAAATTGAGGAATTTTCATTACCCCCCTAAATTTTAGTAATTCATTTTCATAAAGCATTGCTAATGCTTCGTCATTGGTTTTTAATTACCGAACATATATTGTAGCTTTTTTGTGGAATATAGACTTGTGCATCAATTACGTTTTTCTACCCTTATAATTTTCATAATTTAATTATTCCCCTCTTACTGAAATTTAGGGGGAGCTCCCCCTGCCTCCCCCTGGCTATCTGTGTACATGAATCAAAATTTGTCCGCGCGTCTCTTCACCTTCGCGTCATCAATGACACGAGATTTCATCGGTATGTTAAATTGAAGAGAAATCTCGGAAACTGTTTCAGGTTACCGACACCAACGACAACGCGCCAACCTTCCAAAGCACGGCCTACTCATTCGACGTCCCAGAGAACGTGCCGAGGGGTAGCCGCGTCGGCCAAGTCGTCGCGATGGACGCCGACGCTGAAGGACCCAACAGTCAGTTGAGCTACGTGCTGATCTCCGACTGGGCAAACGACGTGTTCTCATTGAACCCGAACACCGGCGTGTTCACGCTCACCGCGAGCCTCGACTACGAGCAGGTATGGTCTCGACCGTGTATATGTAACTCGGAACACGAACCAGAACAACGATACTTCATATTTCACTTCGTTTCGTATTCATTTTGTTAAATCTTATCGTGTCATTCATACACACATTCATATTCGATGAATTTGAAGCCATTGTACGTTGATATTATCGTGAAACTCGAAATGTAACCTCAATGCATGAAATATAACAATAGTACTTCATAATTTCACGTAAACGGCGAATTCTATAAGCTACAAACTCTTTACTCCATTTAATTTTAACTTAACGTAACTATACACCGATAAAAAAAAAGACTTAAAAATTGTATTTGTGAAATACAAAATTTATTTCATACAAGTAAACGTTTACTTGAATATAGCGAAATAAAATTGTATTCCTAGCGAATAAACCAATTAGTGAGAAAACTCAGGTATATCTCGCAAAAATATATTCCGTCATCGCCGTCGAATTTTGCCCTAACCGGTGAATTTCGTAGAAAATGTCACGAGAAACATTTACTTCACAAAATTTCAATTTCTCTCTCCCAGTGTAGTCTTTCCACTTTTATTAAATTTTATTGCGTCGTTCTCATACACATTCGGCCGGTTTGAAACTATATATGTAGACGTATCGTCGGAGGAATGTCCGTCATAAAAGGGATGCGCCGGAGGAGGAACGGCCCCGAGACGAGAGTGCTGAAGTTCCGTTTAGATAAAGTCGGAACTAAAAGACGTACGCGTATCCGCTAAAACGTGTCGGACTGAGCCCGAGGCAGCTATTACAAGCGGGGACACGCCTCTCCACAGTCTCCCGCGCGCACCTATTATAATAGCCGCGGAGGGCAACGCTAGAATTTAGGGTTTAACGCTAGAACATAGAGTCGGACAGATCGATGAACAGACAGTCACTAATGGCGGACCGGTGCTGCATTTCGGAGACAAGCCATACTTAGACTCCCCGGCCGCGTTACGGACTGACGCAGTAGCGTAAACCCGATGGAACCTCGGACGATCCCCTTTAAGCAAGATAGACGGCGGAGAGCGGGGGGTATGGCACGGTTTCGAATCATTTTTCTCGACCCTCTTTTCTCAACTGATTACACACGGGAAACGATTTCTTTGGATTTAACGAAAGTGAAAAATGAAAAATGAACGCGAAAACTCCGAAATATGTTTCTCACTTGTCCAGATGAAAGATGAATTATTTGAGATAATTCGGCATGCTGCGTTAACAATACTTGCTTTGAAGATCTGCGACTAACGATACGCGTTCGGAAGATCTGCGCGCGGATGAAACGTTGGCCTTGTGCTTTATTATTAGCTCAATCGTGTTTACCCCGTTATTATTCCACGCGACGGAGATGTTAACGTTATCGCGATGATAATAACGATACATCGACGGTTTCGTAACTTCAGGTTCGTTGGCTACGCCACTGTCTTACGCTCTCTTACGACACGCATGTGAGAGCACGGCGGGGGAGCGTGTTAGTCACGGCTCCTATCCAGGAATAGGACTAGAAAGAGTAGCGAAGGGATACGCGAGAGGAGCGGGATAAGGGTAGCTTATAGAACCCTTCATTAACGTAATGCCCTTCCAGATACGCGTTCCGGCCGACGTCATTACGGGGGCCATGAAGCGCGCGTATCGTGTACGCGCGTGTATGCGAAAGCGCATCGGAAACAAAGAAATAGCACGGTGCCGTGCGCCGAAACTGACATTTTAGTCCTTGCAGAACGGTTAAGTGCGGGTCTTAAAAGGACCTGTTACCGGACGATTTATAACAGGGGCAAACGTTAATCCTCGCGCAGTTTCGGCGCACCGAATGCGCGCGCGCGGCTGTGTCCGTCCGAGGAGGGAAAGAGAGAGAGAGAAAATCTCGCCTTCGCGTCCATCTCTCTCTCTCTCTCTCTCTCTCTCTCTCTCTCTCTCTCTTCGTGCACCTTGTCCTCCTCTTTTTCTTCTTTCTCGAAATTAGTCCGGGCTTTTTAACAGAACCATAAAACCAATCGCCGCAACCCTTCGTTGTGTAACGCTTTGAAAAGAAATCCCGTCCGTCGAGGCGGACAGAACGACTACCTTCCTCGAGGAAAACTCGATCTCTTCGAGGTAGTCGGGAGAAATCGTTCCTCGTAAAATTCTTCTAACTGGGGGGGACAGTTACGTAAGAATAACTATCGGGAGATGCCGAGAGTTAGTAAAGATGACCGATGTATCTTCTCGCACCAGGTGCAGCACTACATCCTGGTCGTGCAAGCGACGGACGGCGGCGATCCGGCGTTGTCGTCCACGGTGACGGTTTACTGCAACGTCGTCGACCTGAACGACAACGTGCCGATCTTCGAGGTCGGTCCGCACGCTGCCGACATCATGGAGAACGCGACCGTCGGCACCCCGGTGCTCACTGTGACCGCTCAGGACCTGGACTCCGGTGACAACGGCAGAGTAATCTACGCCGTCGTCGGCGGCGACGACGATGGTGACTTCGGGGTGAGTGCGAATGGCACCCTCTTCACGCAACGACCCCTCGATCGTGAACGGAAGCCGTTTTACAACCTGGTGCTGAGCGCCACCGACAGCCCGTTGCCGCCCGCCCGGCCGCTCTCTTCCATGGTACAGGTGAGTCTTGAATCCTGGAAATTTGCAGGTCGGAAAAAATGTCGTCACAAAATTATGTCAGTACTGTGTTATGACTTCAGTTTTTTATTTTATTAATATTAACGAAACCCTCGTGAATCGAATCGATTTCTCAACATCGTAAGTAGCGCAATATCATATATTACGTTTTGCTCAAAATGTTTACCGCGTAGGGAATGTTAAAGGCTTAATGCTTTACCCTTCGATACTCGAGGCAGAAAGTTTCGGGATTTAGACTCGCGATAAGATTTCCGGCGCGAAAGAAAATCGACGGCCGAGGTCGGCCGAGAAGGCCTCATAATGAGAACATGTACATCGAAGCCGGTGTCGATGACAGCTGCTCTTCCTAATTCCGAAGCAGCCACACGTTGTTACCTACCATTCCTCGTGCGACAGGTGACGGTAGTGTTGTTGGACGTGAACGACATGTCGCCTGAGTTCATATCGCCCACAAAGATATCGATAATCGAGAACGCGCCGAGCAACACGGTGGTGATGTCGATCAAGGCCGTCGACCGGGACGAAGGTCGGAACGGCTACGTGGAGTATTCTCTGGAGAACGACAGTTTGCCGTTTACGTTGGGCACCGTGGACGGGCTTCTGCGCGTCTCCGGGCCGTTGGACCGCGAGCAGACGTCGAACTACACCCTGCAGGTCACCGCCAAGGATCGGGGCGAGCCGCCGAGGTCGTCGTCGATCACCGTCACCGTCGCAGTGCTCGACGAGAACGACAACTCGCCGGTGTTCGACCCCAAGCAATACTCCGCCACTGTTGCCGAAAACGCCAGCATCGGCGCCAGCGTACTCCAAGTCAGTGAGACCGACAAGAATGACAATTTCGAAACAATGAAATTATATAAAATTATGAAAAATCTCCTAATTTAACTTTTAACTTAAATTTTAATTTTTTTTTTACATCAATATTTGATATTGGTTGTTCTAAGTTTGTCATATTGTCTAGCTTGATATGATAATCAAGAAATTGGAAATCAATCGTATACAGAAAAATGTGCTAGATCCAAGTAAATTACTGTAATATTCTTTACCAAATTTTGCTTGGTTCAAGTAAATTTTATTTTATTGAATTAAGCAGATACATTTCACTTGGATAATTTATTTGGAAAATATTTTAGTTGGATCAAATAAATATTACTCCCAAGTAAAAATTTGTTAAGGAGTGTTGCAGTAATTATTTACTTCAATCCAACACTTTTTTCTGCACAGTCATGTGATTGAAGTGATATCTGTAATAATTGCCGAAAGATTTTCATTCTTACTCGCAAGAGTGTTGTACTGAGCTTACTAATCTTTAATTTTTTACATGAGTGATTACCATTCGTTATCGCGATGATTCGTTCGGGCGCAGGTGTCGGCGATGGATCGGGACGAGGGCGCGAACGGTAGGGTGCGTTACAACATCGCGAAGGGCGACGACAATCGGGACTTCACGATCTCTGAGGACGGCGGGGTGATTCGGGTGGCAAAGAACTTGAACTTCGAGCGTAAGGCCAGGTACCACTTGATCATTCACGGTGACGACTGCGCGATGGAGGTCGGCGAGATGTCTCTCCGTGACGTCGCTCAGGTCACCATCACCGTGTTGGACATCAACGACAACGCGCCGGTTTTCCTCGACTCGCCTTATATCGCGCACGTTATGGAGAACATGGTTCCGCCGGGTGGCGGCTTCATCATACAGGTAGGCACAAGAATATTTACTGCGTATTTTAATAGTACAGCGTTAGAATAATAAAAATATTAGGAGAATATTCGAAATGTAAATAAAATATTTCATATATTTCGTTCAATCTGTTAAAATGGAAAACGGAAAGTATCTTAGAAGGTGATCGATTAGGATCTGTTTGTGCTTCCCACTTAAAATCGTATGTTCAAAACATTATACTGTTAACTAAAACCCGCGTAGGTTCCAGAATCCATAATTATTTCGGGAGATCGGACTGGGTCCCGGTTAGATCCCGCGAAATTTTCTATGCGGGGAGCAAATCGATCGAATAAGAACGAGATATCAGGCGCGATAATTTAAATTTTAGCAGGAGGATGAACTCGACCTTACCGGTTGTTTACCGCCGGAGCCTTTACAAACAAAGGAACGTCTTTAAATCGATCGATTTCCTCCTTCTTGCGCGCGCAAATCAACGGTACTTCTCAGCGACGCCTTTTTTACACCAACGAACCCCGTTTTTTCTCGTCCGTCGCCATCGAAGGTCAAGGCATACGACGCGGACACGCCGCCGTACAACGACCAGGTGCGGTACTTCCTCAAGGAGGGCGACACGGATTTATTTCGCATAAACGCGAGCACCGGCGACATATTTCTCCTACGGCCATTGGACAGGGAGCTGATGTCCGAGTACACGCTCACTCTAGTGGCCATGGATACCGGTGAGTTAACGTGTCCATTAACGCCCGATCGGGAAGCCGTCACGTGGACGGCGGCCGCCCGAGTACAACGATATTTCGTGGGGAAACGAACGATCGCAGCGCGCGCGCGCGCGCGCGACTACGAGCGATCACGAGTTCCTCGGGGGATCGTAGGGCTAGATGATACGTCACGATAACGAATACCATCCTCGTTAACTAACTTCGACCCGATTGCCGTTGGCCACGTCGAGAAACGCGCCGCCGAATAACCCCCGATCCCTCGACCGTCCTCCGACGGAACGGCCCGGCGAAGTGTCATCCCGCTCGGGATTCGCGGCGCATAGACCAGCGAGAGACGATAGACGATGTACGCGGTGGGTTTAAGTAATGAGCGGTAATATACAAATTGGATATAAATTTGTGGGTTGTTCGATGAGATTCTTTAAGCGGTGGGCAGTTCCTCCCTCTTAAGCCTTTTTTCTCTCCTTCCTTCCTCTTAGAAGCCGGTAGTCCTCCCCCGGTCCCTCCCCAGCCTTCACCCCCGATCTCCCCCTTCCCCCTTCCTTCCCGACCCGCTTCCCCCCGTCGGCCGGTGGCTCGATGGCCCAATCGGTCCCCGGCGAGGTAGACAAGCCTGCAGAGTTATGACGCGCGATTATGATAATCGGTCTCGAATGCCTTCCTCCCTGCCTCGACGCTGCTCTGTCCTCTCCCCCCCCCCTC